TGGGCTGTTGTTGTTGTTATGTGCCATCAAGTCGGACCCGACACATAGCGACCCCTCCTTGGGTTTCCTAGGCAGTATCGCTACGGAAGTAGATTGCTCCATCTTCCTTCTGAGGAGTGACTGGTGGGTTTGAACCTCCAGCCTTCTGGTTAGTAGTCAAGTGCCTTAGGCAATACGCTACCAGAGCTGCTTCCAGTATGTAAGAAGATGCTTTGAGAAGAGTCTCTGGCTTTTTGGCACATCTGGGTCCTGCATTTGGCCGAGTCTTTATATCAGTGGCCTGCCATGTTGACTGCTGATCTTGGGACTATGACATTTTACTTGTCAACCTTGGGTTTGTCAGCCTCAGCAGCCAGCAGCTCCCTGAGTTAAGAAATGCCTCCAGCTTCAGTGGGCAAGGAGCAAGAGGCAGAGCTGAAGCCCAAGGTCAAGGGGCCATCCCCCAGCCCCTAGAGCTGGCACTTTGAACCTGGACTTCTAGCCTCCTAAACTGTAGGAGAACAAATCCCTATTGGTCAAAGCCACTCATTTGTACTATGTCTGTTATAGCAGCACTAGATGACCAGAACAACACCAATACATTCTGATTTTGGATGTTGTCATTGTTACGTGCTGTTGAGTCAGTTTCTGACTGAGAGACACCCTATGTGACATAGTAGAACTGCCTCACAAGGCTTTCTAGGCTGTAATCTTTCTGGAAGCAGATCACCAGGTTATACTCAAGTGAAAAATGTCTACCAAACAAATTTAAGTGTTTGGTACGACTGAAATCCGGTGAGTTGTGGAATTTTTCATTTTGGCTTCCAACATTGTTGCTATCACTCCATATCTACAATTAACAAAGAGTAACAATATTTCAAAATCACAGGCTGCACCACCGGGCAGATCCTAAGCACCTGGGACCTTTTATCACTCTGTGGCTTCTAGACTGAGGCTCTCTTTAACATCCACAGACCATAAACCCCTGGGGTATTTGGTAATTCGGGGCACATTCATGCCAGGATGGTCCCCATCTGTCAGAACCAAAAGGTCATTAATTCCTTGGTCCTGTGAATGAGTGGTTCTCAAAACTTTCTGATATCGGTATTTCCTTAAAATTTTTAAAACAGTGCATGGAGGGATGGATACAGGGAAGAGTTAACTATGGGGAGGAATTGGGAGGGGAGCTGTTGCATTGTGGTAAACTGTGGTCAATGTCATG